AACATTTTTTTTATTTTAATAAATTAGTCTCTCTTGACTTTCTTAGTATTAATTTCTAACATGGAATATTGATTGATACAACTCACATAAAACAAAGCTCTGTGGACCTTAATTTTTGCAAGTGGAAAATGGTGCTGTGACCCAATTTCAAGAATTACTGCTCTAAGGTTAAACACATTCTAAGCCAGCAGCCATTGTGATGTCAACACCAGGTCCTTGACCATTACTTGATAGACCTCTCCAGCTGGACTGCCCTATAAGAAGCTGACCACCTCAGAGTGCCTACTATTGCCCTTGATGTTCTCCACAGGGCACTCTGTGATGCTGCCTAAAAAGACCTCCGAACAACCGTAAGAGAAAGACCATTTCATTTTGACATTGCTTCTTTCTTTGAATCTGTCCAGGCTTCCCAACATCTTGCCTCTTGTTTCTTTATGAAAGATGTACAAACTTCAGACCAAAAGGGCAAAAGCTACTGCTAGGTAGATGTGGACTTCAAATCTATCCAAGATCAGACAATCTCTTAAAAATGCTTACAGTAAATGTAAAAACCAGTACCCAGATTCGACTAGATATCCAACTATGACTTCCTATGGTTGTGATCAAGATGATGTTAGTACTGGTAAAGAAATTAATATTAGTATAATATTCCAGGATATTAAAACTGCCCAAACTGAACTCCTTAGCCAAATGACTGATCTTGTCAGTGCAGTTATCAAAAATCCAGGAAATGATTGACTTTTATCAGAAACAGATGGAGGTACTGGAAAGCAGAGTGAATGCTAGTGAAGACCTACAAGGCATATTAACCAAAGATAACTTCTCTTTGAAAGAAGACACTGATACTTTAAAGAAGAAAGTGACAGAACTGGAAAACCAGAAATTTTGCTCCAGCATACAGCATTTAGGAGGAAAAAAATGGTAAAGAGATGAGAGAACTTCTTCATAACCTCATACAGCCAGAAACTTTGAGGAACACCCTGGCCTCTACAGACTGTGAAATTTCTTTACCAGAACCACAGAAAGTGCCCAGTTGTCCCAAGCCCACCGATCATCTTGAGGAAAAAACAATTTCTCCTAAAATTAAAACTCTGAAGAAAAGTAACCACCAAAATGCATTAAGAAACTTTAAAAAATAAAAGTAAAATATCTATATTTACCCAGACTTTAAATACATGGGTCAAACTTAACTTTTTGTCCATGGAGGAAAGTGGAGATTTTCCTCAGTACTATCAATTTAGAAGAATTCATCCAGTGGCTTCTTTCTAGGCCAAACATCCTCCCTGAGGAACCACAACTCATAACCCGGAGATATTGTCCTTTCACCAGACTTATTGAGAGCATGACAACTATCTGTCTCTCTGTTTTCAACTATACTTACTGTCTTTTTGGTTCCTCAAAAGAGGAAGTAACTCAGCTGTAAAGTTATTTTCTGTTTGCTGGGTGTAAAATACATGTAACTTGGTCACTCCGAGCCTGTACACATCTTTGTGATTGCTGTGCACTCACTAGTTTGCACACTGTGGGCCCACATCTGCGGAGTTTCTATATGTCCACTGTAAGTTAAGGCATATAATCCATTGGACAGTTGTGCTGTATACTCTGTCAGTGTTCTTATTTTCCCCAAAGGCAATTCATGAGTGCTCATTTCATAGATAATTAGAAGCAAAGAATAAAGGGGTCAAGGGAAAGAGAAACCCATTCATTGGCCCCCAACATCAGTTTTTTATGCAGTTTTGTAGACCAGATCTGTGATACCAGAGAGAGACCCTACTAACAAAATTTTAAACAGCATAAATGAAAAAGATATCTGCTGTCACAGCTACCAAAGCTGTAGTTATAAAAATGAAGGGCAGTGAAAGAACAAGTTATTGCCAGGAAATTATTAATTCCAAAAATGAGATTTTTCTTTGAACTTCAGCTTCACATCTATCAAAAACTAGAAAAGGGAAGAAATATAAATTCGGTACTGAGTATCTTTTACATTTTCATGAAATGAGACAAATACCATGTCTTGGAAGTTTGATACAGAGGAACAGGGACAACCTGAGGAAGGACTGTGAACCTAGTTAAATCTCAACACTATACTACCCTAGATTCTTATTTTGACAAGGTCTTTTCTTTGTATGAGCCATGTACTACATATCTAATGTGGGCTTCATTTTTAGACATAATAGGAGGTTGCCACTATAAAGTAATTTTTCTAGACACCATGCAGAATAACTGCAAAAAAATGTTTTCCTCACCACTTAATGCAGTAAATGAAATCTACCAATAGAGAGTATCATATGTTGTTAAACTATAAGCATTTTTGATAAATGTACTACTTTACATTATTCTTAGTCAATAATTTGAAAGGAGGGTTTTGGGAGTTAGCTAAGAACAGCCCAGTTTCAAATAAGGAGGAAGGAGCTCAGGTGGGGTGAAGAGGAACCAAGGGAGCACAGGATGAGAGAACATGGTATTACCAGGTGCTGGTCTGGTAATTATTATACATTACAAAGGCATTTTATTTGATCCTTCTTTACAAATCTAGGGAGAAGGTGTGTACATAAATAACTTCAAAATGTCAATATATGACATGTGCAGTATCATACTAGCACACAACTACTTAACGAGGCTGTGTATTAAATGGGTTTGTTTGAAACAGGAAACCATGCTAATGCAGTACCATGCTGATGAAGGCACCTGAGGTCTCTGTGTTTATTCACTGTCAGAGATATCTGCAATCAACAGCCAGGTCACAGGGTGGGACCCTGGGACCCTCCTATCAGAGAGTAACCAGGGAAGGGGGCATGACAAAGAGGACACAGCAACTGGCTCCTGGGAGAGTGAAGAGTGACTCAGCTGGTACTTGTCTGGGTCCTTGAGCCCGTGTATTAACTTTTGCTTTCACTGCTTTTCCCCTACATGCCCCACTGACTCTTTCTAGAGAGGCAAAGAGTTTATGGAAAGAGCATAGCACTGGGAATCAGAAGACCTCAGTTCAGAATAGCCTTAAGTTCTACTCTTACAAGCTCTATTGTTTCATCTCTTCTAGCTTTGTTTTGTCATCTCTAAAAAGGGAACCATTATAGTAAGTTAGTAAATATGTCTTCAGTGTTTTCTAATAGCAAAAGTTCAGGGAGGACACACCCAAAAAAGTAGAATGTATTCCCTGTCCTACAGACACCAAATGGAATGAATGAACTGTGTACACACATTACTCTGTTGCGTGGTAGATGGGGATGGGCAGCAAAGAGCAATATTAAAAGTGCTCCTGGAACCAGAGAAGAAAAGCGTGATGAGCTTTATAGAAAGGAGGTAGGTGAGGAAGTGGGGAGGACTGTGTACCAGGTGGAAGGAAAAACAAGGGTACTGAATGGGGCCACTGGGGAGTGTGGGAAACAAAAGGCACCAGACATTTTATAAAGGTAAAGTACTGACAGGCTATTTCAGACTCTGTATGGATCTCATTTTTCTCTTCAGGGATCCCTACCATTTCATTTTAACCTACTTTTTACCTATGTAAGAATGTTGGAGGAGAAGAAAGTGAGAGACACATGATTTCTCAGGGCCTCAAATTTTCCCTGAAGATGACTGTACTGTTAATTCACCACAAGTTCCCTGCGAGGGAAGGGAATTTTGCTTTTGAGTCAATAAGTTATTATTACCTGGAAGAGATCTCACAGGACTCATTAAATTTATAACTCAGCTTGTAACTACAAGTGCACGAATAATTTTTCCCCAGTCCTTGCCTTCAAATTCACCTGGCTCTCACCCGTCTCCCCTCCAGCCTGCCTGGCTCAGAGGGAGTAAGGTCTCCCTGGTCCTGGTCCACAGCCCTTCCTCTTCAGCAGCTTGCAGGCTCTTCATCAGGTAGTTCCCTCCGTCTTAATCACCACCTCCTGGTTCTTTGTACTCAGCTTACAAAAACACCTGTTTGCCTTGTCCCTGTGTCCCCCTCCTCTCTTGGCATGAGAGGCCTCCCTATCTACTACTCCTCTTCCAGGCGCTCCTTGGCTTATATGATCATGTCTCCCATAACAAAGCTCTCTCTTCTGGTCCTTCTACCATTACTCTGGCAGATCTTTCACTGTTTTTTTTTTAAATATAGTATTACTGATAAACAATCCTATGAAGGTTTCACATGAACAACATTGTGGTTTCAACATTTACCCATATTATCAAGTCCTCACCCCCTACATAACTGTCCATCAGTGTAGTAAGATGCTATAGAGTCATGACTTGTCTTCTCCGTGCTATAATGCCTTCCCCATGACCTACCTGTATTGTGATTGCGAATTATAGTGCCCCTTAATCCCCTTCTCCCTCCCTCCCCACCCACCGTCCACACCCCTTCCTTTTGGTAACTGCTAGTCCCTTCTTGGAGTCTGTGAGTCTGCTGCTGTTTTGTTCCTTCCGTTTTACTTTGTTTTTATATTCCACAAATGAATGAAATCATTTCGTATGTGTCTTTCTCCACCTGGCTTATTTCACTGGGCATAATACCCTCTAGCTCCATCCATGTTGTTGCAAATGGTAGGATTTGTTTTCTTTTTATGGCTGAATAATATTTCATTGTGTATATGTACCACCTCTCCTTTATTCATTCATCTACTGATGGACACTTTGGTTGCTTCCAAATCTTGGCTACTGCAAATAGCACTGCGATAAACATAGGGATAGATGTGTCTTTTTGAATCAGGAATGTGTAATGCTTAAGGTTAATTCTTCAAACCACAAAAGTGCAACTTTTTCTATATTGTTCTATACTTCTTCAAAATATAGGCAGTCCCTAACATATCAGTGGAGTATGCTTTAAAATTTCATTTGTAAATCCACTATTTACAACTCAGAATGCAGATACAGCATTAGAATTAGAATTGGATTTTTTTTGGCCAACCTGTAAAAGCTGACTGAACTGCAGTATACCTGAGATGCTGGTATTAATGAATTATAGAGCCAAGCTTTTGTGTATTCCCACGCCAAAGTATATTCAGGAAAATAACCACAAGGGCAGTAATCAAGACAGCCAGATCAGGGTCCCCACTCTCTTTGCTCTCTCTTCTACCTGATAGTGGAGTGAAAATGTCATAGATTGATGGCACTAGGATGATACCTTGGGAAACGGGGACAAAGGACAGGATCTAAATGGGGACCAAGGCTGAACTCTAGGGATGAGAAACCAAGGTGGGGAGTTCTTGGGTGACGAAAGAGACAACAGTGCCCTGTGGTCCCTGAGAATCTGGTCCAGGGAATTAGGGCCAAAGTAGGGCCAGGATCATCTTTAACAACAATGAAAGATTGAAAGCTGAGCTACAAGGGAGAGAACGCATACATGTAAAGTCCTTAGCATAATTCCTGGCATGTAACAGCACTCAGTAAATGCAGACAGAGATATTGGAGATGGTGAAGTAGATGCAAAAATTACAGGTTTTGGTCCCTCATTTGTCTTTTGGAATACAATCTATCTGAAATACAACTGCATTTGCAAGGAATGTGGAACTGCAAGCCTTTCGGAGCTATGAAATGTCAGTGGCGGAGGGAGTTAGTGGAGCTGGGCAGTGGTTGGACTGATGATGAGCACGCAGCCGGAAGCGTTGTTGTAGTGAGCTCTTGTGGCAAAGACAAGATAGATTTGCATGTCTTCTCATCTTTCCCGTTCCCTACACCATTTCCTTTCTGCTAAAGCTTGAGGCGCAAGGGTGTGGGCCGTGGGAAGATGCATCACAGACAGAGGCAGAGGCAGGGAGAGGGAAAAGGCAAGGAGAGGAAGAAAAAAACTCCCGACAGAAGTGAGAAACAGCTGACTGCTGCGGCACAGGCCTCACACAGTATAGATATTCCCCCAGGCAGAGGGAAAGCACCACACCACCGCTCTGAAAATACTGAGAAGGGCTGGGCCACCAAAGGCAGTCTCATCAGGTGGGATGGTCATCCTTTTTTCTACTTTCTGTTTTAAGCTTCCAGAAATGGCCCTTAACAGGACTCTTCCAGTCAGTCTTTTCCTATAGCCAAGGACCCTAGCTACTTTTAGACCCTTCCACTCTCCCCGGCTCTCACTGAGGATGCATAAAGAGATGCGTGAAAAAGCGCCCAAGTGGTAGTCTGATTCTGATGATGTATTCTTTCCACCAGCCTTTTCAGAGGGGTATTCTATGAGATGACAACCTGATGGAAGGTGTGACACACCTGTCATATATCAGAAAATTGAAATATGGGTGCCAGTCTCATTTACAGTGTCCCTCAGCCAACTTATATTTGCCATCTGTAAAGATAATCATTGCTTGAGGTACAATTTGTAATCGAATCACAACCATCAGTGACATGCTACTTATTGTTATAGTAATATTAATAAAATTATTCCTATGGCAGTCTAATTAGAGGAGCACTAGAGGTGACCCAGCTGGCATTTTCAATATTACCTAAGAGGTATGATCA